TATATTATTTATGTAACGGTTTTTTTTTAGTTTATGTAAAGTACAGTTTTTTATGGAAGTTTTTTATGGTACATGAACACTTGGCGCCTTTTTTTTACCTTTTTTTAAAAAGGTAATTTTGTTAAGATATATATATAACAGTATATATAAACAAAAAGTTTAAATAAAATATAAAGTATATTCTAAATGACGTATATGTTTGTTATTTCCGATATTTGTAAGACTCTGAAATCATAAAATAGAAAGAAATTTAATTTTTAATTTTTCAATTACTCTCTTTTTTTATTAATTTAACTTTTAATTCAATTAATTTCATTATACATTAACTTGTATCTTAACTAAGTTAAATTTTCAAGATTGTTAACTTTAACTTAACTTAGTTAAAAGAAAAAATTAACTTACTCAACCCTGCATATGGTATGGATTTTTGAAGTTAACATTTAACAATTGTTAGCTTTTATTTAAAGATACGGCGACCGCTTTTATATATGTATGTCTATCTGTGGTGGCATCTTTTTATAGTTTTTTACGCAGATATATACATATATATATACAAGATCTACAGTTTTAAATATTGTTAAATTCATAAATGTCAAAAATTTTATCTAATTTGAGTTATTTTTAATATCTGTATGTTGCTACTGCTCCTATCGAATATGTCGTTAATTTGACTAAAATAGTGACTAAAATACAATTAATTTAACTCAAGACAATTTAAGAAAATTGTTAAACTTGATTCAAATTTAATTTATTGAGTGCATACATTAGTATGAATAATGTTTACTTTGAAATTAATCATAGTAATGGATTGATTTACATTTTAACATAGATGGAAGTTAAAAATAACAAAATGTTATTTAACTCAAGAACGGATTAGGTTACCATTGTTTCATTGATATCTAAAATGAATAACCTATTAGAAAAGTTTTCATAACTAGAAATTTTATTTGGCCAAAATGCCATTCTGGTTACTTTTTTTGGTTAATCAAAATATTTTCCTTTATGTATGCATGTATGTGTGCGCGCGCGTGTGTGTGTGTATAAACATCTATTCTCATTTTGTTAGATTTGCTAAATGTTACTTTTCTTTTTCGCCATGTTTGCTATAAAGGTATTTCCTATTCTTAAGTAAATCGAATATTTTGTTTTCACACACATTCCACACATTTACACCCAAATCCTTCCGTCAATCTCATTCGTATTCTATCTTCACATTCTGGATGATATTAAATAGTTCGCTCAAGGAAACACAAACACACACACACACACACACACACACACACACATACCCGATGTGGCTCGCCCTAGATAGTGCTACTCAAACCTTTATTTCCCGTAATCTGCGTCTCGGCGCATGTGCTCCCATCATTTCCGTAGGGGTGCCGTATTTATCAAAGAAAGGATATGAAAGCTGAGTATGACAGGCGTCTCTCCCTTTCTTTTACAGGCTTCGAGCGCTTGGCGTTGGTAATCGAGAGTACATCGCGGATCTCGCTGAGCAAATACGACGTAAGCGGGACAGGGCGTTGGTAAGTGCCGTATGATCGATGACGATTGCGCGACGTTGAACGGTAATTTGAATCGGAATTAATTGTACCGATCTCTCGGCAATCTCGTTGCCGTCTGTTATATTGAATCATATTGATGCGCACTCACGTACCAATGATACAAATGATGAAATCAAGCGGTCTATAAGAAGACTCGTCAAGTCTGGAAACGGACCAAAAATAAAACTAGATTTAAATCGATTTAAAAATACTTCACTTTTAATATTCGATCAATTTTATTTCATTGATTATCCTGTTATTATTTTACATTGTTCTATAAATGAAAAAAAGATTTTTGTTATTTAAAAAGCATTTGATAATGTAATTTGTGAACAATTTCTGTGTGAATACTGCAATATGAAAATTAAATTTGTATTAATACTAAATATTGTTATATTAATACTAAAAATTAATATACCTTGGTAGATATGATATTTTTTGCATACTTGGCGCTACTTACTTATTTGTATTATTCACATTGGTGGTCTAATTTAATTTAATTAATCATTAAATTAATATAATTTCCGTAGAAACCCAGAAAATAAAAAAAATATTTTAATGAAAAATGGCATTTCTAATGAAAAATGGCATTTCTGTTATACATCTTTTTTAGCAGTTTATCAATTTTGTAGTGCACGATACTTAAAACGCTTATTTTATAAAATATATATTAAAACAAAAGTGTTTTAATAAAAATGGCATTTTAAAAATGCTGCCACGTATCTTTTTCAACAATTCATCAATTCTGCTGCATCGTACTTAAAGCATTTATATTTGAAACGTATATAAATCCATCTTTTTTCACTAGTTTACAAAATGAGACTACATGTTAGTATAGTATTTTGCAACTATTAAGTGTGACTAAAGTTTACATGGAATATCTTTCTTTCTTTCAGGCTTTCTCTAACGTTACAAATCATTCCGTATACTTGGGTCTCGTTTCAGGAAGAACGGCGGATCGAACAGGAGAGTTGTCGCAGGCACTTCGATACTTGGAAAAGGCTGTGGGGTAGACCCGGCCACGGTGCCCCCATAGATCACACGCAACGGAACAATCTCTACAACATCCTCCATCGACCGGCTATCTATTGAATTTTCCCGTAAAGCGTTTCGTCTTCGAGCGAGCGTAAAAGCGGAGGTGACTCCGTCTCTCTGCAAAATGCCGCCTTTTATAATACGAAACGAATAAAGAGGAGGTTATTAGATACCAGCGACCAACGCGAGATAGGAAGTATCGTTTCCACAGGAGATAGTAGATGGGCATAATATATAAATAATCCTCCTGGTTCTTCGAGGAGGATGATAGTGAGCGAAAAGTGCATAATATAATCCCAATTAAATGTAGATTAAAATCTCTCTTATGCAGACCGTTTATTTTCAAAGCCAATCAAATTTTATAACGTACATAAGGAATTTAACTGGATACCGTGTTCGAAATTCGTCGGTTTTAATAAGATTTTAATGAAAATTATTTACATTATTTTCAAAATAAGCCGTTCATACAGTAATGTATTTTAGAAATATATTAGAGGGGGAAAAAACGTACAGTAATTATAGATAGCTTGTATTTAATTGGAAATATTTTCCAACAATAATATTTAATATATAACTACGCTGGGTAATTAAAATCAAATATAATGAAGAAAAAGAAAGTAGTAAAAGCAGTAAAAGATCGTACGAGAGGTAGTGAAGGTATTTATTAAAAAAAATAATATATGTAGCGTTAGCGTCCTTTGTTTCTTATGAACCGACTTGACATGAAAAAAACAAAGAATATATCAGACATCCTATTAAATTTCATGAAAGCCTTGCAAGGGAGTGAAGGGCAGCTTGATAAACCAGGACTATGAGTGCCGCCGCGATTGACCAGACCTCAAAGGAGCAATCTCGTGAGAATCTAGTTGCTGTATGCGGGTCGATAGGTTTTAAATTTCATGAACACCAAGGAACGGTCATTTGAATATATGTGTGTATAGGTGTACGTGATAACGCGCGGTGTTTGCGAAAGAAACGTTCTTCATCATCAGTCATCGTATCGCTATAATCTGTTTACAATTTGTTTTTCTTATTTTCATTTAAAAAGAACTCATGTAATTTAGATCTCTTGACTTGTTAGAACGCTTGTAAAATGACAGCATGAAAATTGTTGAATATTATGGAATTAAAGTTTATTGGAATATCTATTTAAAAAGCGTATGTTAGCTATTTATTGAAAATGTAGGCGTGTATATGTAGTGATTAAATAATAAAAGCTTTTTTTTGATCGTTATATATTTTAAGCTATTAAAGATACATTATTATAGAACGAAAATGATGTTAGCAAAAATTTTATTATCAAGTAGAGAAGTGTAACTTTCTTTTAGCTTTGATTTTAGCTAAAAAAAAATCATTTTATGCTGATCCTCGATAATTTATAATTTTTTAATGCGCATTGTTCGTAAGTAGTTGTAGTGTAATTAATTAACGCTTATAGAGCGTTTTAAAACAGTGTAATTTCGGATAAGCAGCACTGCTGTGTTTGCGATGAGATGAATTTTTAATGACACGGTTTGATGGTGTGTAAAAACGTGTTCAAAACAGTTTCAGTAACCGTTCGTACGTCCAATCTATTTGAAAATATGTGAACCTTAAAGATTATATTATAAAAGGCTAATATATTACGTATTAAACAATTAACGACGTACGTTAATTTATTCTTTGACTTTTATTTAATTACTTGACGTCGTTAAGCGAGTCATCTATTATAAAAGTAATGTAAATTATATTTTAAACAATTCGAAGGGGCAAATGTAAAATATTAATTTTGATAAGCTTTTCGAGATTATGCTTATCCACGCGGCTTCAAAATAAATGACTTAAATAATACAATTAAGAACATCTCGAAAAAAGATTGTGTATTTAGGTTAATAAGATTTTTTTTATCTCACTCTGTGTGATGAAAAAATTCTTATATAATACCTCTCATATTAATATTTAAAAAAATACATTATATTTTAAATTTATGTGTGAAAACATATCTTGGATTTCTTCAAATCTTTTATAAGTTTTCTTCAAAAATTATGAAATGAGAAATCTTAAAATATTTAAGAATTCGTGTATTAAAGAATTTTATTTCTAATTTCTAGAAAAGATATAGACTTCCAATTCGTATAAATAATATGAGAAGTTTTTTAAAAAGTAATACAATTACAAAGAGAGAAATTCTGAAATTTTCATAACAATTATATGAAGAATTCTAAGAAAAATTTCTACCAGAACCGGGCCATAAATGTGTTATAATTATTCTTGAAATATGAAAATGTGGTTTACGTTTTTAAAGACAATGGTATTACCATTTCGGTTGGTCGCCGAAAATATCTTCGTAAGAATCGATGACGGTAATAATCTCTGCGACGTATAAGATTCATTTATTATAAAATTCGTCAGAGCAAATTTGATTCGTTATCGGCAAAAGTGATTAATTCTCTCTTCTACTAGAGAAGATCTGCGGTTTATAACTTGCGAATAGCGCTGCGACGATAGGAAGGAGAAGGAAGAGAGTTTCGAGTGCAGACTAATCATAAATTATCGATCTGTGCGACGTTTGCTCGCGTACTTGCTCGTTCTTATCAGGCGATTTGCGTAATACGTTAATTAGACATTAAGTGCTCGGTAACCAAGTACAAACCCGGAAGAGTAACAGTAACGCTTTTAATGGATGTGGGTTATTTAATTTGCGCGGAGTGGGATGGGGATGATGTTTGGCGGTGCGGCTCGGCGCGGTTTGTACGCGGAAAGGCGCACCTTCAGCTCTCCCGCTTCCGTCTGGAGAGCGCAGTTTCATCCCTTCATCTATCCTCGTCCACCCCCTCGTTGCCTTCGTTCTCCTCACCACCTGTACGCGTCCCATACACGCAGAGGGAGAAGCGACCCACGAAATCTCCCACCTTCGCTCTATGCGCATCTCCCGAGTACTCGCATCCCACCGTTATTCCTTCCCCTTTCGCCACTCATGCCCCGTCATCCAGTCCCTTTCGCTAGCTACCAGCCAGCAACCACCCGCGCTTTTGCTATTGTCTGACTATTGTGCCGCTGTTACCGCGGTGTGTCGGTTCGTTTGTATAAGGGTGATTCATTTTCTGGGAAATATCAGTTCCTGCGCCGCATGAATTTCGACTCACGTGAGCGCGTAAAACCGCTGTACGCGGGGAAGGTTTCCTCTGCCTCCTCTCCTTCTTCTTCTCTCTCTCTCTCTCTCTCCCCTTCGTTCTGTTGTCGAGCGCGAATTAAGCCTTCCGTCTGGACCTTTCTCCAGACAAACATATAAATGTATGTATATTCATTTCTCGGAGACGTTATTTCACTTGGGAGCGGTGCTTTATTTTGGCGAGCATATTCCTGCGAGAGTAATTCTGCAAATTAAAATTACGTCTTTTGGTACTTCGTTATCATCTCACGAGCTCGTAATTTTCGTAGCTTCCATGAAAGTCAGTCGTCCTCTTCCGTGCGGTAATTAGAAATTACGGAGTCTAATGAATTCTAATGGACAAATCGCGAACGGATGGCAAAGTAGGCATCATTCGACGTGAACAAAATGTTACACGGGCAAGCTCTCTCTCGCTTACGTTTAACGCGTAAGTATAAATAACCGTTGTCACGGCGCTCATAAACCGGTGTCCTTCTAAATTGCGGAACCCCTTGTGCTCGCCTTGTTGCAGTCTGCAGGTAGCGGTAAAACGGCCCGCCTCTCCCATCTCCATTTTCTCTATCCTGCCTACGTCTCGTTTGCACAGGGTCGTTCTCTCACTGGCGGGGGTTGCATTGTTATGAAATTGGGTCGTCCGCTTACTGCAATGAGATACGCGACTCGTCGGTGTCGTGCGCCACGAAAATTGGTCGCGTAGCCTGCAGCTCGTCTCGTCTTTCCCGTCGCGAAAGAAGGTCGGACGAGCTATGGAAAAATGGCGAGAATGGTAATTCTACCGAGGGGTCCGGGGGTATTTTTGGTTGAAGCTGTCACTCTCTCTTCTCTCCGTCGGAATATGAAATTGACAAATGTCAAATAGTTGGAACTGTAATATTATAATTTAAGAGTCTGACGTGTTAAGCAAACGTATTCTTCACATCGCTCTTGCCGATAGCGACCCAGAATATTTCTTAGTACGTAAAAATGTCTCAAAAGTTGTCTTGAAGCCTTGAATTGAAGATTGTATCAGTATGTTTATATTTCTTTGTAGAATAGAAATAGTGTATAATTGTTATTCGTAGATTATAATCGTTCGATCAGTTAATTGCAATTATTACAATAGAGTAGACTGAATAGATTGTAACGATCGGATAATGTTCATAAACTATTCACTGTGACCAGAATGTGTTAAGCTTTGTTTGTAATGCTCTGCTGCATACAACGTATTATTATTAAACACTATTTATTGTCAAAGAATAAAATTTCATAAATTTATTTGATAGATTCAGTTTCTCTTAAAGAATCGACCTTATTCAATCGACATTTTAATTTTGTGGTAATATTTGTGAAATACGTACCCTAAAAGAAAAGATTGGTTGCTGTAGCAATTTAGATAGTAAAATAATGGCACAGTATTTTTAATTGGCTGCAATATAGCAAATTTTTGGTTGCGTTGGCCTATCCGCAATGTCAATATACGATTTCGATAGGATGATGCAACCAAAAATTGACTGCTGCAGTCAATTAAAAATGCTATGCAATATTCAGTCAATCTTTTCGTTTAGTATATTATACTGATATAATTGTCTATCCTTTATACTTACGCAGAGTTAATTATGATAAATCGTATAATATTAATGTGTATTGTATGAAAGAGAGAGGGTGGAGAGGGAGAG